ACACAAATTTTAGGCTGGCATCGCGAAGTCAGTATCAAACCTCACCTGTTCATTTAGTATCTACAGAAATGTCGCTGTATAGTTAGCTGAAAATATTGTTATATATAACTTCATTTCCTATGCAAAAAATGCTTTTTGTTTTTTCATTCAACTTTTTTTGCACTTTTATGATGCTAGTAGTCTATACTGTTGCCTGATTTGTTAATGCTAAGCAAAAAAAGATATAGTGATAAGTAAAAATGTGCTTATGATTACAGTTATTGACAAAAAGTGATATAAACGACTATGGCCTTTACTGTTTAGAAGATGTCAACAATAACTTGTTTTTGTTAGAGACTGTCCGCTGGTGCTTCTGTCAATACAGCTGAGCAACTACTTCTTTTTCAGTTTAATCAAGACCATGTGGCCGAGTCAAATACAAATCACTTTCTGTGGATAACATTTTTGTAACTAATTTTGTATATGTTTGTTTGCTCGCTTCCCTGCTTATTAAACTTTGACCGCAAAACAATGAATTTTTTCGTTTTTGCTTCTTTTGAATTAAGTTGTTTTTTGCCTTTCTAAAAAATCACTTTTGGGCTGAATAACAAAGAGATCGAAACAGTGCTGAACCTCACTGAAGTTGGGAAGTCAATAAACTCCAGACCTGTACAGATTACGTGGCAATTTTAATCTCGCGATCTCTTTTTTTCTCAACGTTTTTCATGCAGTATCTTCTGAGCAGCTGTTCTACAGCTTCTCTATAGAAAACCTAATGTTACCGCTACAGTGGAACTTTTTGAAACTTTTAGCAATAGAGTAATATCTTGGAAGTTTTTGTTTATTGCTACATAAATAACGCCATTAATTTACATTTATTCTGTTGTCAAAGTTATATATGTATATGCTAAGAAATCGACAGTTTTATTTTTAAGAAAGATTAAAGAATGGTGTTTTTGATGGTGATCTTCTTATGTACAACGCAAAATTTTATCAAAAGTTTGTTGGAACAGCTACTTTTAAAAGCTATATTTTTATCGACTTGGGATTGTTGGAAGTTACAAGCGCAGCATCGGCTGTTAACAGGAAGCAAGTTTGTTTATTTTAAAAATATTCGTAAAATAGTATTATATGGTCCCGTAACTGACATAGCAGTTATACTGTTTCAGTGATTTATTGCAGATCAAGTTCGCTGAATAGTGAGTGAGTAGAGACACGAATAAAAGTGGCATTTGCTGATACACTGGTCTCGAAAAGTTTTGAGCTTTTCACAAATCAATTGTGCATTTTATAGCATTTTTACATCTCATAATTAACGTGACCCACGGTGTACTGAAATGCTTCCGTCCCTTTAACTTTCTGTTCCCCTATTAAGACGTCGAAGTCCAAAAATGAGAAATTGATAACCGAAAGTTTAAGTTGTCAAATACTTCAGAATCACAAAATCTACTTTGCAATGTTTCCTTGAGTATGTACAAGAAAAATATGATTTATAGAATGAAGCGATCAACTTTTATAACACATTGGTGCAGAAACTGGTTTATTTCTGGACAACGCAAACTAATTTCTGGCTCGTTTTATGTTGATAGCAGAGAAGGAGCAATTAAATTTACTTTTATTAGAGATTAGAAACCACTCGGATCAGATTCACAGGTGACCAATACTATTTATGACTTCGTTTTTTGTGGTACATACATTCGGGCTGTTTTGCAATCCATACTCAACTGACTTCTTGTCATGATATAGTCCAGTCTTCTTTTTGAATTGCTTTCAGTAACAAGGCCGATGACAGTTTTCGTAACAACATCGTTCCATCGTCTGAGTCTTCAATTTCGAATTCATTGTCCCGCATCTTTCGCACGACGTTCACACCCGGTTTCTACTGCATCGTGACGACAAACTGAAAACATTTAATTATGGAATGAAGCTGAATTTTATGCATCTGATATGATGTCTGAATTGCAAAAAGTTTTTAACTTAGGGCTTTATTTTAGAAAAATTAGGTGCACTTTGAAAGATTTTCTTAATCTGTGCAATAACGACAGAAGTAAAGTTAAATCTGGAGCAAAATTCTAATCATTAGTAAGGCTATTAAGATGAAAGTGCAAATAGTTGAAATGGCTACGTTTCCGAAATACATACCACTGTAATGCATTTCTCCTATTCAACATTGGTAAGGTTAATGCTTTAAATGCACGTTTTTATTTTAAAGACTTTCGTCAAGAAAGGTGGGATGTGATGATTAGGTGATTCAGAACAAAGGTGGAGCAAGTCACAAAGCAATGAATCGGGAACCAGGACATAGATATCAGAATAATCACTTTGTAATTCTTTGACTTTTGCGCTCGTTTCAGTTAAAAATTGCGCAATTAATTTGAGTTTTAACATTTGTTATTGTAAGCTTCATTATTAAGAACCTCCAGATACGCAGAGTATTAACTACTTGAAAGAAACTCAAAAACCAACTGTTACCGTTACTTTTTACTTTCAATTTCATCTACGTTTAATCATAATTTTAAATTAAAGTCAAAATGTGATAGGTATATAAATAACAAGGAATAAAACATGGAAGTTTTAAAAGAAAATTTTTTAAAACTGTACGGCATTATCTTCGAGAAATTTTCTCCAAGAAATGCTTCAGATGTTTTAGCGTTCGAACATCTAACACACAATTCCGTAACCTGAAAACAGCTGTTTCTCTATATAAAAATGTGTTTTCAGATTTATTTTTAAATAAAACAACAGGTTTAACAACGTCATACATCTTGCAGGTTTATCTGAGTTTTCAAATCAAATTTTTCCTTTCATTGACGTTTAAATCCAAGTTAGCGCTATTGCCTCTTTCGCATTTGTCACCATAAATGTGGCGGTTAAGGCGATAGGTGGTCATGACAAGTCTCTTTATTTCATTACACGGTTCTTGGCATTCCCTGCTTCAATATTCGCAAGTAAAAAAATTTAGCCAGAATACGTAAAACGATATTGGTATGCAGTAATATCTCCGACAAAAGATTATCTATTCGTCCTTATCTGTTCGCAAAGAGCTTCGCTGTTTTAGTGCACAAAATTTTGGCTTGCTGCTTACAAAGTTTGCGACTTAT